GTCTGAAACATTCATGCATTTGCTATTTCATTAGTGCATTCAGCAGCCATGCATTGATGTCATTTATCAATATAGTTTATAAAAGTCACACAAATGGTAGAAGGAGAAGGCAATATGGGCTTTAAAAATGAGCTCAAGAAGAAATTGCATAACGTATTGGGGATCAGTTAGACTGATTTCAAAATGAAAAACACCCATATCGCTCTATCTCTATTTTAGATGGTTAAAAAGCTGCCCTACTTAATGTGTCGTAAAGATAATTCAGCAAACAGCATGTAGTGTTCTAATCGAGGGTTTTTAGAGGTTTAATCATAAGTCCGGCCGGATGAGACTTTTTTGCTGTGACTCTAGACTTCAAGTTGGGGATAATTTTAGCTGCAATAACTTAAAATGATGATCTTCTGAATGACCACATTGTTCCCTCACATCTTTTCAAGTACAACTTTAAAGTGCAGTGAGGATTGTGGGCTTCTGTCTATAAAGATGGCTCTTAAAGTTCTTTTTGCATAGTTTTATATGCTTGTCTGGAAATTGTCTAGGAATGCAATGACTCTAAAAGGAAAAAACGAGAGAGTTTAGCCTTTCGCATCCAAGCTTGGCAGTTAATGCTTAGAAATATTCACACAAGCATTGTTTTTCTAAACAATATTTCTCGATAATTCTTTTTCTTTCTGTCAGTTACAGCTTGTAGAATCTGGGCTCTTGCAGCATTTTCCTCCTAGAGATAACGTTTTTTCTTTCTAATATGCTGGATGAAGCCATGCTTGCTCAGTTCTCCAGCTGGCTATTATCAGGAAGTTTCTTCTGATTAGTTTTGATTGGGTCATCAATCGGCAGGTTAAATGCAGCTGGGAACATTGTAATTGTTACAAGAAAAGCTATCATGCCTTTTAAGCCTTGTTAAAGTCACCTATAGGCAAGTATGTGATCAGATGATGCTTTTATCACTGAAGACCAGGGGTCTTCAACGTTTCCTAGGCCAAGGACCCCCAACCTGATGGCGAGATGGAGCAATTTCATATATTGTATTAAATTGTGTATATAAAACGTATAGTCGTATAGTCATTCTATTGCATATGGAGTAATTTAATGAAAGTAATTTTGCCCTGGGATTATTAAAGTATTTCTGTTTCTGATTCCTCTTTGATGGGACAGTTGTTGTGAATGAAATGGGGCCCAGCTTGAAAGAGCTCCTGTGTGTCGTGCTTTGATGACTGCAATCTTTTGCCTCCATTTATCTGTTTACTACAGTGTGTTGAATTCATGTTAATGACTATTTAAAGACATTTTAATTAGAGGACCCCTTAGGGGTCGCAGATCCCCTGTTGAAGACCTCTTCTCTAGACTATTAATTCCTGGTAAAAGATATTAGCATGCTGATGGAAACACTTTACTTCTGATTATATAACCCGTGGGTTATTAATAAGTGTGGAGTTGTTCTCTGATCCTGTTTTGTTTAAAAAAAAAATTGAGTAATATCACTTGATCAAGCCTTTTCTGACATTTTAAACAAAATAAACTTAGTGACAAATGTTAGCATGATTTATGCTGATATATCGAGTCAATGTCGGTATCAATCAGTACTTGAGCTGCAATATAATTTCTACTCGTCCCTTCTGAAGGCTGAACAAAGTCTGAGACCTTTCACAGCCAAAAAAAAAAGATTATTGCAACTTAGATGTGAGCTGAAAAAGTGATGCCCTGCGCAGATTGGCTGCTAAAACAGCCAACTCTTCCTCTGTTTGAATTGCAATAATCTTGCTCTGCCTCAGATCCCCTCTCTCTCTGATCAGAGAAATTTGCCATTTGGAAGGTCCTTCTGGAAGAGGGCTATTCATTTCTTATTCATTTCAATTCATATATGATTTGTGCATGATTTAGATAAAGGAATATGATTATAACATCACTGAGGAATTTTACCCAACACTTCTGCATTTTGGCTTAGTTTTGTTAGAGTGGTATTGTTTTGTATTTGTCTTTATGTTTAAATAATTTTAATACTTTGCATGTTCTGACATGGAGTTCTAAGATTTACATAAGATTTATTTCCTTTTGCCCAAATTATGAAGAAATGATGTCATGTATTTACATGATCTACTCAATATTCAGTAGTACTAAAATAGCACAGCATATTCTGTGGTCTCTTATTATGCATCAGTTCTAGGAAGACAAGCTATGTTTGTTTACAGAGAAGACATCCAGTAGAGTGTACATTTAGAGTCGACCGAGTGTCTGTCTGTGAGTGTTGGTGAGCTGGGATGTCTGTTGGGATTATAAATTTCACAGGGTTTATGTAGTGTATCTCCATGTCTAAATGGGTATGTCTGCTTGCCACACTCTAAACCATTAGTTTGCAGTTGTTCTCTGGCTTCAGCAGTTCAGACATGCTTTGTACGTAATAGCCCTTTGCAATAAAACATGTCCCAATTTCTGGCACTGCTTGGCTACCTGACAGGACGAATATTGGTCTTATTGTGTCATCACAAGAACTGCTTAAGTGGAGTGACATTGAGATTAATGTAGGTGCAGGAAGTAACACAAGTGCTGAGTGCACTTCCTGTAATGCAATGACTGTTTTGCAAAAACAGAGTTTCTTCAAAATCAGCTGACCCACCCCCATATTCTTTCAATAAGGTTTTGACAATCTGGTAATACTTGGACTATAAAATACTATTCAGCATGTGGATAAAATTCACTGCAGTTTTTTTAGTTTAATTATCATATTTTTTGATAAAACGTGAAAACCCTACTTCTGATTGGCATGAGGTCTTGGCTTGGTGCGCATGAGGACCTCTTAAGTCACAAAGACCCAATGGGTGATGTGTCAGGCAATAAATGTTTTACAGGAAGGGAATAGTTGGGCTTTGTTGTCTTCGTCATTGCTAATTTTTCTGCTGCCTAGCCCTCTGGCTTGCTTGTGGCAAATTATTTCTATCAGGATGGCTCTGCCAAGCTGGAAAAGAGTGTACTGATTCTATTGCCTTATTACTGCTAAAATAACCAAAAGAAGAAGAGTAAGCCAAGCTTTTGAGATTCCATTATTTCCTTAGAAAGATTTCCAGGGGGTAACAAACACAGCCAAATTAAACTTCTAATTATCTTTAGCTTTGTGTATCCATGTAGGCATATTTTTACCCAAAGTGTTTATGTGTCAAGACAATAAATACAAACTGTGGCATACAGTTCATCCAGAAAGGCACTCCGTGTTTTTCAACTTTATTTATGTTATAGCCTTACTTCACACGTTTTTAAATTAATCTTGTTCCTCAGAATTCTACACACAGTACCCAATCTTGACTTTTCAATTGTTACATAATTAAGTATAGAAAACTAAGCAGTTAAAAATAAGTTCAGGAGCACACTGTTTCCACTATTTACCCTTGATGTTTCTACATCCTAAAGCTTCTTACAAACTCTGCAAGAACTGAGAAATGTGTTCCTGTTCTCAAGGTGGCAAGAGCAAAAAAAAGCTTGATTGTTGAGGAGGTATATTTCAGATTAACAAGGAGAAGGGGGAGAGCAAAACGCTTCATGTCGCACTGAAGATGTTTGTACAAAACTTCCTCTGCAGCGAATCCTTAACATTTTTTTCACATAACAAATTACTCCACTGGTTTCCACACCTGAAATAATATCCAAATGTCTGGCCCAAAAACAATAGGGGAAAATCATCTTTGCTTTTCCTATTAAACAACGGCCATCCAAATCCTGACCAATTGCTCAATTCTTCTTGGACCTGCCACAAGAAAGTTTCACCCAGGTGTTGTTGAGAGCAAATGGGTAGAACCCCAGAGACAAGGTTGTGAGAAGAAAACAATACTATTTTGTTTTTGCTGCATTGAGAGTTAGAAAAAAGTTTTTTTCTTATGGATTATATAAAAAGGTTAAAATGGAATCAATCTTTGATAAATTTAGTTGTTTAGACATGATTAAAGACTATTTTATGCTCAGAAACCAGGTTGTCTGTGTGTGTGTTGCAGTTAACGCAGATATAGGCCACACTTCAAAATTGGGCATAAATTAAAAATATCTGTGTCATACCTGCGACATGCTAACTGCGACACACTGCTCCCGGAGTATACACAGCCCTTTAGGCACATGCCTGTCTATTTAAGGTTCCACATTTAACAATGCATGTCAAAAGCACAAACGCCAAGCATGGAGTCAAAGGAAGTGCCTGTCATCCTCTAAGACAGGGTTAACTTTAGGTAGAAATCTGGAAAATCTGGAGAGAAAAGAAATTCAGATGCCTTTAAGTTAAATCAGTGGCATCCATCAGTCATAAGTGGAAAATGTTTGGGAACACAAGGACTCTTCCTAAACTGAGCCAATTGGGGGAGGAGGGTCTTATTCAGATAGGTGACTAGGAACCACATGGTCACATCTCCTATCCAATCCGATAGGTTTGAGATGTACTGCAAACAATAGACCAGACTATGTAAAGAAAGTAGTACTAAGCTGGTGTTATCATTTATCAAAAAAATACTTGTGGCTATAATTTCTACCAAAGGTGGATCTACAAAGTCTTAAGCACAGGCTGCAGATACTTACATTAATGGGATCTTTTTATTTTCTGTATATAATACATTACCAACCTAAAAATGCTGTTTCACATTGTCATAAAGGAGTGTGTGTAATTTTGTGGTAATGTATTAACTTTATGACATTTGGAATAATATCCATATTAATAATAATAGAAACCAAATGTGGAAAATAAAATGCAGTGACCTTCTGAATGATCTGTATGCTGGAAAATAATTAAATTTATTCATTTGACGCTGTAAAGCTTTGAGAACGATGAAATATCACTTGCAGAACAGGTAAAAGCAAAGATGCTTAAAGTCTTGAGAGAAATGTTGAGTAATGTAATTTACAAGAAAACGTGCCTTCACCTAAACTTTATTAAATGTACTGTATTATCCATATTTGTACCTTAACTTTGGCAACAAGTTAAAATTAGTGTTGCTTTTTTAATCTAACCTGTGTCATGTCTCTTGCAGCTCTGCAGTGTGTGAATGATAAGGCGCCATGTGTTAACGAAGCAACATGTCTGACCTTTAGCAATGGCACCGAGTACTGCAGGTAAGATCCACTGGTTGGATGCACCAACTTACACAAACTTTGCAGTTTCATTTAAGCAGTTCTCACTGTGATCTGAGACCTATAAAAATATGAGGTAGAACCTCATAAATAATACTTGAATATGAAAACCCAAGCCAAAAATATGGCTTCTAAATCAACCCTATTCTCTTCAGGGGCTCATGAGGTTTTCTTGATAAATGGACTCTTTGTTTTACTGAGTGCATAAGCACTGGGAATAAAACCAATATAGTCAGTGTTTTTTTTTTTTTTGGGGGGGGGTTATATTAGATTCCTTGTTCTTCAAGTTTGGGCATAGATTAAAAACTAACTAAATTACTTGCTGCTTCCAATTATTATTATTCCTATTGTTACCAGAAAAAAAGAAGCATAATTCGTGTGAGGAAGTTAAAGAAAATTCACCCAAATAAAAGTAAAGTTCTCGATCAAAGAATGCCAAGTCTGTGTTGGCTAAGTAGCTTTTTTTTTTGTTTTTTTTTCTTCCTCTGAAGTAATGAGAGCAAGTGAGGAAAGGATTGTCGCATTCAGAGTGCAAAAACTACTACTTTTTGATGATTTAGCGTAGTTTGTAATTAGGTTTGAGCTTTCTTTTTAATTCTGTCACCACTCCCAAGCCCAATTCCCAACAAAAACGCGCCATAGCTGGTTCATGAACCTGATCATGTTTCATCAGATGTGATGAGAATGCTGCAACGTGTCTGTTCCCAGAGCTGTTGGAATGTACTTGGCTGCCATTGTAGAAAGAGAAGATAAAACCAACAGCTCTTAATCACCATTAAACATTTTCTCTGTTAAACTGAAGGTCAAGCAAACATGTTTTCTGCAGGTGCAGGCTTACCTGTTGTCAGTTTGTATGGGCCTCAAGCTTTACTTCAGTCATTATTTCTCAGGGGGGAAATTAGGCTGGAATATGATTTCTAGTAAAATACTACACCGTTAAAGGCAAATGGTGTTGAGTCTCAGAGATTAATACAACTTCTGGACTACATATGGTAAAGGTATGATATTCTCTAGTCTGAGTACAGCTTGTTATATCCCAAGAGACAAGAGACTATCTAGATGACCACTTCTAGTACAATCAGTGTTGTAACTGTCATAAAACCAGAACAAGCCTCCAACGAAAGCTTGTTTTCTTAGTATTTTTAGTCACAAATGACTTAAGCATCACAAAAAAGCAACTTCAAAACAATTTTAATTTTATGAAACTCTCACATCACTCTTTAATGTAGAGGCTGTTACTGATTGAAGAGGACTCAAATGCCCCATTTACACTAGCCCTCTGAAACCGATCTGTGACAAGTCCGAACAATGCTTGGTTCTTACGACCATTTACACATTATACTTGCACAGTTCCTTGCCTCCTATCGGTGGTCCGTGATACTACAGCTTTCAAGGCGGGAATTACGCAAAAAAAAAAAAATGGCTCGCCCATAACATTCAGGAACTTATGTGCCTGGATAGCATCCTCTACCCAAATTTCAATGAGAGCCTTGGTCTCAGCATCATCCCAGGTTGCACCACTCTCTTTTGATGCTATTTATTGTTAATATGCTAAGAGGTCTGTGTTGTGAACAGGTGAAGAGATCTATGAATTTCAAAGCCGGACACATTGGAAAACCCATGAAATGAGCGGGCTGACTGTTAATAGGCGATGACGCACTCTACGCATGCGCTCTTTGTTATCAGAGAACCGAGCCACAGCTGAACCATGCCGAGCCCTACTGTTGAACTAGTACTACATTTGGAGCGGTTCTGTTGTCTGGCACGGTCCAGTTCAGTTGCGTTAAATTTTTATTCAACAGTAAGCTCTGTTACCATGCTCGGACGGTTCTCGACACGGTTTCAAAAGGGTACTGTAAATGTGGCTAAAATTAAGTCATGCGCATAGATTTGTAAGAAGCTGTTTCAAAGGAAACAATTATTTGAAAGATGTGTTTAGGCATGTTTCTAGTGTTGATACAGATACAGTTAGAGAAGCAGGACTTTCTGATAACAAAAAGACTGAATGGAGTTTCAGCAAATGTACTCTCTTCTGAACTTTCAACCTCTGTGAGGGATGATGCTGGGTTTGGAAATGTTTGCACAATACCCACATTGACTTCAGTTATATTAACATTTACTGACCGTTTGTGCTAATTGCTAATGGATGATGGTGTAGTCAATTTAAAACATTAACTCAGTAATCATTATGTCTTTGTTTAATAAAAGAAAACCTCCACACAGTAGGATGTCACCTCTTTTACATATTAAAATAATTGATTACAGCTCATGGCAGAAATATTTGAAAAAAATATTTTAAGTTTGCCAAAAATACAAAGAAATGTGATCAGAACATCTTAAGGTAGAATGACAAGCAACCCTGAGGACATGCAGACATAAGTTCCTCAACAAAGAAGAGGCAGCTGACCAAAAGCAGGTCTACTGTTAGACTTATTAGCTAGTTTTCTACTGTTTACAAGTCATCATAAACAACTTGTACATTATCATACAGACGCACAGATGCCTCTGCTGAGTCTCTCCAGTGCTCTCTGTGCTGCTGTTTAAAAGACACATTGTGCAACAATCTGATTAGAGGTCTGCTGTAAATGTAAGCCAAAGAAACAGACTCTGTTTTTTCGTTTTTTTTTTGTTTTTTTTTTACATCAACCAGATAAAATATCACATGGGCCCTGGTTGGGGGGTCAAACACAGTAGCTTGATAATTAAATAAACCCTTAACATGAAAATCCTGAGATAGAAGATCCACTCAGTTACTTCCCCTGTTTAGAAATGCAGGAATTTGTGAAGAACTGAGTATTTTTAAAAATGCGTCTTTTCAGCAGATGGATGATTTATTAGAGTCATCATACTTTTCTTTTATTAGCTTTTTTCTTTTCTTTTATTACACAGAGACATTTCTACACTATCAACTTTCCCCATTTTGACATACATTAAATCTCTATCAAATTTGGAAGTGGAGTATAGCTATGTAGATGGAAAATATAACTTTTTCTTTTTTTTTTTTGTCTTTACAAGCACTTAAGTGAACAACAGTTCAGAATACATGCAGTTAGTCCCTGTTATTTGTTACCCTAAAAAAAACAAATCAGAAAAACCCAAATGTCTTCAGGAGTAAGCAAATGATCAACTATTCTATTTTTGCGACACGGGTGTTAGGTTAGTTCGTGAATATAACCAGAAACAGTTTTGTTAGAGCCAAGGAATGCATGGGGGAGAGAGAAAATTTAAAGCAGCGAGATTGTACTATAATTTCCCAAGATCTGAAAATCACAGAACACTATTCAATTTAGCATCTCATGTTGGAGAATAAGGGCGGATAGAAAATATGTTGGGAAGAAATCTGTTTGCAAAGCACTTCCCAACTAAAGCAGCCATTTATGAAAAATAGCCAAAATAAGACGACTTCAAAGTTTGCCACATGTTTTTATGGCACACAGAAACATGTGAAAAACTGCATATAATTTGCTTCCCCTACACATTCATTCACTTCTCTCCTTTGCAGAATTGCATGAAATTCCGGCCAACTAGAATGAATTGTTTGGTTTTGATGCATGAACAAATCTGAATGCTATAAGAGTGTAACATGAAGGTGTTGTCCTGGCAGAAGGGAGGGGTGGTTTTGTTTTCTGGTAGAAGAAGGAGCTGCTGATCATAGTTCATCATGGTCTCACTGACCTGCAGAAGTTCAATGCATTCTCAAAATTCTGCCGCTTTCATATTTTAGTCTCGATTATTGTCATCTGTCTTATTTTCTTTTTATTTTTCCTTTTAAAAAGAATTGTTTCATTAAACCTTTTTGATATTTTAACGGAGTAATAAGGTCTCTACCTAAAATAAAATTGCAAAAATGTAGAGAGATCTTTCCTAAATTATCAGATTTTTTCTAAACTCCAACTCTTAATAGAAGGGAGGCTTTTGTTAGAGAAAGCTAACGTCCATGGGAGAAGTCAATTGGCTGCTTTTGCAGGGCAGGGTGCAGTAATGTTGTCAAACCGGCGAAGCTACAAACCATCAACTTTAGGTGTGAGAAGTGCAAGGTACACGTAAGTCCCTGTGAGGATTTGTGAATGCCATTTTGAATGGTAGGTATTTGTAGCTTACATCACAATAAACAGGGCAGGCACTAAAAGAGCTAAAACTATGGCCTACATTTTGGGTTCATGTTAAAGTTTAGCATTAAGCAGCATACCATGCTGTCCATATCTTGTGCACAGCACAACTCTTTGTCTTAATCTCCCTTTAGTATTAACTGATTACCTTCCTTCCTCTCTCATTTCGTGAAGCTTTTTTTTTTTTTTGGCAAAGTTTTTCTACAGATTTTTGAAGAGATTTACTGGGTTGAGTGAGCCTGCTGCCTGTTTGATCTGACAGGAAGAATTAACCTGCAGGGCAGGCAGAGGAAGAGAAAGGGCCAAAACAAAAGAGGATGTCTCTTTTTAGGTAATTTGAGAGGGAATACCTCAGAGCACAACTCCTTACTAATGATGAGAGACTTTTGGACTGGGGGGATGGTGGAGCCAAAAGAAGTGGAGAGAGGAGTGTCATTTCCCGTCCTGCCTCACCTCCTTCATCAAACTGTCACTCTGTGATCCATTCCCCAGTCCATCCACTGCTGTAGGGATTTAGATGGCTCTAGAAGAGTCACCTGCTTTATTAATCTTTGCATAACTATTCTTTTTTCTTAATAGGGTTAGAAGATCATAAATCCCTTGTCTGTGTTTAAATAATCAGTACCTAATCTGTATTTTGTATCACATGACTTTACGAGCTTTATTCTGAACTTTCTCTTCCTCTGCCTTTTTTCTTTATTAGTCACCTTGGGAAATCACAAAACTTTAAAAACCTCTCGGGCTCACAAGCATACTTTTTAGACATCCAGAACATTTTTTAAATGGATTTAGCATAGAATTTCAACAAAAGCTCTCATGCTGAAACGTAGGGGAATGAAAGCCAAAGCAGTGATTTTTCAATCTTACACTCAA